GTTGTTGTTGTTGTTGTTGTTGTTGTTGTTGTTGTTGTTGTTGTTGTTGTTGTTGTTGGCGGCGGTGCTGCTGCTGCGGTTGGTAATATTTGTTGCCTTACGACGGAGACTACCAAGGAGGGAAGTCATCTTGCTGCCCATGCTGTGGTGGTTGTAGCTGCTGCTGCTGCTGCTGGGTTGTGCTGCGCTGCTAGATGGTGACTCCTGCTGCTGCTGCTGCTGCTGGTGCTGCTGCTCCTGCTGCGTCTGTGGATTTGTTGTCTCTTCCTGTTTCTTCTCTTTCTCTGTCTCTGTCTCCTTTTTTCCCTCATCAGGAACAGCTAGCCGCTCTGCTGCATCTTGCTTCTGCTCCTCCTGCTGCTGCTGCTGCTGCTGTTCCTGCTGCTGCTGGTGCGGTGCATCCAGGATAGCTAGCAGCTTTTGTCTCTTATCTGCTGCTTTTTGCTGCTGCTTGCGTAGATACCTCAATGCGCAGCGGCGTTGGTGTCTCTCCGCGCTGCTGACAGCATCAATAGGGAGATCTAAGCTTAACCACAGCAGTTTGCTGCTGATCCTGGTGCTGCTGCTGCTGCTGATGGTAGTAGTTGCTGCTGCTGCTGTTGGTGTTGCTGATGTTGTGGCGGTTGGAGCAATAGGTGTAGCTGCCTGCTGCTGCGCTTGCTGCCTTTGCTGCAGTTGCTGCTGCAGTTGCAACAGACACAGCAGCACGGTGCGCATGTGGGCTCTTGTTTGTGCAGCAGCAAAGTCTTGCTGCTGCTGCTGCTGCTGATGTTTCTTCTTCTGTTGGTGCCGCTGCTTCTTTGTGTGCTGCTTCTTAACTTGCTGCTGCTTCTGCTGCTGCTGCTGCTGCCTCAATCTCTCATGTCCTGCAGCAATAGCCTTTACCAAGTCTGCTATAGTTCCCCGTGCTGCTGCTGCTGCTATAGCAGCAGCAGCAGCTGCTGCTGCTGCTGGCACCTGCAGCAACCCCTGCTGCTGTACCGCAACAAGGTCTGCTAACGCCTCAGAGCTCCATGCTGCGGTGCCGCGGGAGCAGCCAAGGCAGCTCTCTAGCCGCTGCAGCAGCAGCTCCTGCTGCTGCACAGAGATAGCTTGCTGCTGCTGCTGCTGGTGCGGCTGATGCTGCTGCTGCTGCTGCTGCTGTTCTGGACCAGAGATATTACGTTCTGGCACCTGCAGCTGTTGCTCCTGTTGTTGCTGCTGCAGCTGTTGGGCCTGAGCAGCATCCTGCACCCCTTGCTGCAGCTGCTGCTCCTGGTGCTGCAGCTGCTGCACCTCCTGCTGCACCTGCTGTTCTTGTTGCTGCAGCTGCTGCTCTTGTTGGTGCAGCTCCTGTTCTTGTTGCTGGAGCTGCTGCTCTTGTTGCTGCAGCTGTTGCTCGCCCTGCTGCAGCACTTGCTCGCTTTGCTGCAGTTGCTGCTCCGTCTGCTGCAGTTGCTGCAATTCCTGCTGCGGTTGCTCTCCATCCTGCTGCAGTTGCTGCTGTTCTAGCTGCAGTTGCTGCTCTACTTGTTGCAGCTGCTGCACGTCCTGCTGCAGCTGCTGTTGGTCTTGCTGCAGCTGTTGTTCGTCTTGCTGCAGTTGCTGCTCTTCTTGCTGCTTCTGCTGCTCCTGTTGCTGCACCTGTTGCTCTGCTTGCTGCATTTGCTGCACCTCCTGCTGCAGCTGCTGCTCTTCTGCATGCAGCTGCTGGTCCCCTTGCTGCTGTTGTTGCTGCAGTTGTTGCACTTCTTGCTGCAGTTGCTGCTCTTGTTGCTGCAGTTGCTGCTCTCCCTGCTGCAGCTGCTGCTCTTCTAGTTGCAGCTGCTGCTCCTCCTGCTGCAGCTGCTGCTCCTTTTGCTGCGGCTGCAGCACCTGTTGCTGCAGCTGCTGCTCTTGTTGCTGTAGCTGCTGCTCTTCCAGCTGTCTACCCTCTTGCTGCATTTGCTGCTCTTGTTGCTGCACTTGCTGCACTTCCTGCTGCGCCAGCTGCTGCTCCTGCTGCAGTTGCTGTTGCTGTTGCTGCAGTTGCTGCTGCTCTTGCTGCACCTGCTGAACTTCTTGTTGCAGTGCATGTTCCTCTTGCTGTGTCTTTTGCTCCTGTTGCTGCAGCTGCTGCTCCTGTTGCTGCAACTGCTGCTCCTGCTGCGGCAGCTGTTGCGATTCCTGCTGCGGTTGCTGCTGCTGCTCCTGCTGCTGAGGCTGCTGCTGCTGCTCCCCCGGTTGCTGTTGTGCCTGCTGCGCCCCCGCCGTGATGTCTTGAGCCTGCGCAACTTGCTGCTGCTGTTGCTGTTCAGGCTGCTGCTGCTGCTCAGGCTGCTGCTGCTGCTGCTGAGGCTGAGGCTGTTGCTGCTCAGGCTGCTGTGGCTGCTGCTGCTCAGGCTGCTGCTGCTGCTGTTGTTGTTCTGGCTGCGATTGCTGCTGGGCAGGTTGCTGCTGCTGTTGTTCTGGCTGCGGCTGCTGCTGTGCAGGCTGCTGCTGCTGCTGTTCTGGCTGTTGTTGCACCTGTGCTGCCTGCTGC